GGTCCCTTCTGCTCCCAGCCCCAGGGCTGACACCCAATGAAACAAATCCTTCTGCTTACACATCCCAGTTCATTCCTTCCCTGACCTCTTCCTAAGGCTACGGCCTTCTAGGCCTCCTGCTCCCATCTGCTTCCCAATGCTCCTCCAGCTCCCATGAAGATACGTTTCCCCACATCCTTTGTCCCCCACCAGCTCAGCCTCCTGCAACCACAGTCAGCAGAGCATGTGTCCCTGGCAGTGAACACCTCTGCAGCAGGGAGAGCAGAGGACACACACAACATCCACAGCACTTCTACTTCCTCCACAGAGAGCAAGGGCTCCCAAAGGCATCCTTGGTGCCCTTTCCACAGCAGACCTGTGCCCCAAGGATAAGCCATTGCAAACAGTTTAGAGAGCGCTCCACACGGATCCACGTTGCAGACCGGGACGAAAAGATTATCTAAAAAGATTTATCCTGACAGAGAAACATCAAGTTTAAAATCCAGAAAACAGCTGAGATCCTTGTGTTTCAAGTAGATCTTCCCAGAGACAACGTGCCAGCTGCTGGCCTGGTGAGCACCTCCCCTCCCCACACGTGAGCTCTCTTGCAAGGCTCACTCTCAGCCCTACAATTATAAGACAACTGATTTCAGGCAAACTTGTTTTAATTGTATTTTCCTTGTGTTCAGCAGCAGGACTACAAGATTCATGAACCTGTGGGATAGGTTATTTCTTTAAGATTAATCTAAAAAGTGGGGAAATACTTCCAAATAAATATTGCTGTCAATAACTCTCACTGTTGGAGTAAAAGCACAAAATTACTCTTTGGAAAATACTTTGCACCCTTAAAAAAACTAAAGCAATGAAAGTAGAGGGTGGGACATTCCCTATCAAAACCAAGCTCAGAGGGATGTTCTTCTCATTTTGGGGAGAAGCAGCAGCTTCCAGAGTGAAAATGCCAGACTTCACCTTTCTCAAATCTCAGCCTGTTGTTTACATCTTTAAATTAACTGTGCAAATCTGCTGCTGAAGAAAAACTTAATTAAGAATACTCACTTTAATAGCAGGTTCAGACTACTTAACTCTCTTTAGAGGCATTAATTTACTATTAAAAGTAATTGACCTCTGTAAAGAAACAGTCAAGTACTTGACATAATGACAAAGTTGTTCTGAGGAAGACATGGCTGTTGACGCCGTGCAGGGCCTGCTGGGACCAAGACACTTTCTGAAACCCTCCAGGGGACCTGGCAGGTAGAAGATTGATGGGCTCCTGCTACAGCAATGAGTAGGAAAGCGTTCACTTACTATTAGTGATGCCTGCAAATAAGCAAAGAAAGTTCTACTTATTTTTAAAAAAACAAAAAACAACACCACCAAACAACCCTTGAAACATGGCCTTAATTTAATCTACAGACCTGTTTCTCTTCCTCCTCGTCTCTCCTGCAGGCCTGCACAAACAGCACATCTTGGCCTTGAAAGTGGCCTGTGCTCCCCTTTGATTTTATCAGCTACACTGGCCAAGGATAATTCTACTTTTGCAACCTTTTATTCCTGTTATTACTCAGGAGAAAGACGTGATCTCTTCTGCCAGAACACCCCTGGGGCGGGGAAGGATGACGATCAAGGCGAGTGCCCCGTGGCACTGCCAGGACCGGATGCGCGGAAACCGCAGCCGAGCGGGTGGGCGCCCGAGCAGCGACACCGCGGAACCGGCGGGGCCACGTGTGGCCACCTGCACCAGGACCCCCAGGGAAAACTCCCACACGGCTGAGGTGGCGGTGGATGCAACCAACTGGAAACATGCAGGAGAAGCAGAGGGAGGAGGCAGCAGCCGTGCATCAGTCCAAACAACTGCAGGTGACACAGACCACTGACACCTCAAGAGCCTCTCGGACATCCCACCATCCGACAGACACCGAGGAAGAGCAAGGCATCGGTACACACCACCTCTGCCTACTGCCAAATCCCACCTGAACCAGAGGCATAAAGCCCAAGAATGTGTGAACCATGCTCCGGATATATTCTCATGCATCTGTATCCCCTCTCCAACTCATTCTCCAAGAAAACTGAAAGACCTTTGGTTTAAGGAAACTTGACAGCGTGGAGGCCACCACCTACTCTTTCTTTCACAGGGCTAAACAGTTTTATATGCCAGTGAATTGCCATTACAGTTAAAACTTCACAATATTCTTACTGTTTGGAGAAGCAAGGTAGGCCTGGAGCACTTTTTAAGAGTTGTGTCTTATTGCATCCAAAAGCACTGCAGAGTTTTCATACCATAGGTGCAAAGACCATGCCCCCTCTGCTCCAAGTCCTGGGCAAGCGACCGACGCTGCTGGACCCAGCTGTGGTGCGAGGGCTCCGGCAGGGAGAACACCACGGCAGGAGACGTGAGTTACCACCTTGTACTCCTGCAATTTGTTCCCCAAATCAGCCCAAGCTCCCAGCGCTGGGGTGACAAGAGGCCCACCCCAGCACGCGCACACAGCTCCCAGATCCAGCACTGCAGAGACAACTTTTCTGACGGCAGCACACTGGAGGTACGGAACAGCAGCACGGGCACTTGTACGGATGGAAAGCAGCAGAGCTATCAGCCAGCTTTAGCACCATCAGCAACGAACCGAGCAGCGGGGCCTCGACTGCAGGCACTGGCCCGGGGGACAACCAGGGAGCCAAGGAGCGGCCACCATGGCCAGCCGCACGGACCCGCCAGCGACCGCGTCTC